GCAGGCAAAACTAATCTTTACTAGAGAATACTCTTGGGGGAGGAAGAAAGTATGAGGGAGGTTTTCTGAGTACATGTAATATTCTATTTCTTGCTCTGCATGTTAAGGGGAAATCCAGTTTGTGAAAATTCACTAAGCTGTATACTTCTGAAATGTGCACTTTGTGTACATACTGTACACAGAAAAATAGTTCAGTGATAATAAGAAAAATAAATTAAAAAAGGAAAACTCTTACAGAACAATGCTGCTGTTGTTAAGTGCCATTTCACAGAGACTCTGTCTCCAGTTTTTGTCTGCTGCTGTTGGTTCTCAGCAGGGTTTCCAGAAAGTGGCTGGTGAGTCTGAACCACCAAGCCTGAGGTTCAAACAGACTCTGCAGTCCAGTGCTTTACTCCATAGCACCACACAAGGAATGCTGTTGGTGTTGTTAAGTGCCATCAAGTCATTTCCAACCCATAGTTACTCTGTGTAGAGCTTTCAAGGAGCAGCTGGTGAACTTGAACTACTGACGTTGTGATTCAAACCAATTTCACATTCCAGCACATTAACCCACAGCGCCACAGCAGGGCTCCAACATTAAAAACAGAGCCTTGTAAAACCAAATCTTAAATCTTAAAATCCTTCATCTTAAATGTAGTGTAGTATTTCATTGTGCATATGTACTAAACTTTAACCATTCTTCTGTTGATGAGAATTTAAACTGTCTCCGTCTTTTTGATGTATCTCTTGTAGACAGCATATTGAAGAATCCTGTTTTTCAATCCATTCTGCTCGCTCCATCTCCTGACTGGTGCATTTAATCCATTTATATCAGTGTAACTATTGATAGGTATGAACTGACTGCTGTCATTTTGCTGTGGGTTTGTGTGTGTGTGTGTATGGTGCTGCTGGTTTCTTTGTTCCACATAATTTTCTGCACTGACCTGATTTTGTTTGTGGGTTTTCTTTACTTTTGTTCCATTTCTGTTGTGTTAATGTTTACCAAATCTTTCAGGTGTTCTTTTTATTTTGATGTGCAGCTATATCACTTTTCTTGAGGCTGTTGTTGCTTGTCTTTGAGGTTACCCTTTATTAATTTTTCCCCTATTTAAAACAGTTTGTTGAATCTTCAAATCTACTTGACTTCCTAGCCATCTAGAAGTTCTGTATCTATATTATAATATACTTTTTGTTTTTGTAGTTAACGTCATTAAAAATTGATATCTCTTGTTCCCTATTTTCAGTGTTATACATCTGCTTTATTTTAAATACTTCTATGTCTGGATTGAGTTCTGGGTGTTGTCATATACAGTAATCTCAGGTTGTTGTTTGCTGATGAATCTTTTGTAGTGTTGGTACCAGCATTACAAAGTCTTTTAATTTCTGTTTATTAGGAAATGTCCTAACTTTACTATCATTTTTGAGGGACAGCTTTGCTGGGTACATAATTCTTTGTCTTTCATGATGTTAGAGAAGTTTTCTTACAACAAGTCTTCATCAATTTTCTCTGTGCTTTTTATTCTCTCTTCCTGTGCTGGAATTCAGCTTACTGGTACGTTGTTCCTCTTCATGGAGTTCCATATAACTCTTAAGCTTTCTTCAGATGTTTTCATTCTTTTTTTCGGATTATTCGTCAAGCATTCTAGTATTTTCAAGCCCATTAAATCAAGCTTCCACTGATTTGAATTTACTCCTTTGCCATTTCAGTGTATTGTGCATTTTTGAAACCTTAGTATTAATCTTCTTGATTTCTAAGGCAGGTTTTGTATTGTTTCAAAATTTGCATTTAATTTATGTATTTGGTTCTGTTAGTGTTTATCTGAATTCTTCTAAAGTTTTTTTTCTGTGTTCCCCGTGCCTCTCTTGATCTTTCTGTTAATCCTTTATTGTTGTTGGTAGTGCCGTTGAGTTGATTCTGACTCATAGCAACCCTGTATAGGGTTTCCAAGGAGCAACTGGTAGGTTTGAACTGCTGACCTTGTGGTTCAAAGTCCAGTGCTAATCCTACAACATAACAATCAATGCTTTGAAGGCATCTAAATATTCTTTAAATTCTTTTTCAGTTAATTCAATTCATTTTATTCCTCAGAAATGTTTTCTGGCTCTGCATCTTGGTCATTTGTTTGCGTCATTCTCTCTTGTTTCTTTATATGAGCTAAAGTTGTCTGTTGCCTCTGGAGTATTGTGGGGTTGTCATACTTGTATTTAATGTGTTTTTAGGCTTTTACCAACCGTCTCCTGTGGGTGTAGTTAGAAAATGGAAGCATGCGCATTATTATCATTCACTATTTGAGCACTTCCGTTTCGGGTGGGTTTGGCTGATGTTGGCTACTGATCAGGTGATACAGGAGATGGTATTAGCTCTTGCATAGTGGGTAAAGCTGCAGAGAGTAAGGTTGTGGCTGGGCTATATAGGCACAGTGTCTGTCTCCTGTCTGGAGGGAAAAGAAAACCCTGCCCCCTCCCACACACAAGAAAACAAAACAGAATAAATAAACAAGGAAGCAACAATGAAAAGAGAAAATAATAAAGAGAAAAATAAGTTAAAAACAGGCAGCAACCAGAAAAAAAGGATATAATAACTATAAAGACAAAAGAGGAACATGGAAATGGAGATATATAAGAGAAAAATAAGAGAGAAAATAAAAGGAAGAAATTAAAAAAAAACATAACAATAAGTAAAAAGAGAAAAGAAGAACAGGAAAATAGAAGTATAGAAGAGAAAAATAAGAGAGGAAATCGAAGAAACTTAGAAACACCAGGGAGAAGGAAGAGGAAAAGAGAAAGAAGGTAGAGAGTAGTAAAGAAAGATCAAGAGATGAAAACAAGAAGAGAAATGAGAAACAACAGAAAAGAAGGAATAACAAAAGCAGAGACATAAATGATAAAACTCAAGGAAATGAAGAGAAGGAGAAACAATGAAACAAAAGGAAAAAAACAAAAACAAAGAACGTGTAACTGTTAGACCCAAGAGGAGAAAACACTGTGGGGCAAGCCAAGAAGCTCGCAAGGAGGGTGTGGGCTGGATGTGACAACAATTTCTGGCCTGGGTGTTCATCTATGTTCAGGACATTCAATCTAGAAGTAGTTCGAGGAGGTCCTTGATGTAGCCAAATCACAGGGTAGCTAAGGGCAGGGTGACTGGTTAAATGCTGGTCTGGTGGCTCTGCGGGTTCTATAGGTCTAGGGCCAAATCCCCCTGAATCCCGGCACCAAAGCAGTACAGCTGGTCCTAACTCATACTAGCATGGCTCTCAAACCACATGGCTCCAAACTCCAGGAGAACAGGGATTTTGCTGGGGGTGGATGAGGATGGGAGCTGACCACATCTCTGGTCACCAGAGGAGCGTAAAGAAAAAGAAGGAATCGCATCTTTCCCATCACATGTGTAAATCTGCTCTTTCAGACCACTTTCTGTTGTCAAAGCTGCTCACAAAGATTCAAGATGGTCTTGTTGCATCTAGCTGGCCCAGAGGCTGTTCACAAGTCATTCTTCCACTCTCACCATCCCTACTCAACTTCTCCTCCCAGCAAGCACTCAATCCACTTGACCTAACCTTTCATCTCAAGTTCAGGGTTCCAGAATTTTCACTGGTGTGTGGTTCATTTGGTCTCTTGTATCTTCACTATGCAGGGTCCATATAGTGTGTCCACCTAGTCTACCATCTTTTCGGAAATCCTAATTTGTCATTTCTATCACAATTTAAATTGTCTGTGCCTTTGGACTCCCAGAGTGGTGCAAATAGTTAAGCACTAGACTACTAACAAAAAGACTGGCTATTCAAACCCACCCAGAAAAGTCATGGTAATAAGGCCTGGATATCTGATTCCAAAAGGTTAGCCTAGGAAATCCTATGGAGTGTGGTCCTAATGTGTGTGTTTGAGATCGCTATGAGTTGGAACAAACTCAGCAGCAACTAACACAACCACCTGATCCCTTGGACTCAGAAATTTAACTGTACATATATTGATACATATGCATAATCATTACCACACTGTTTGTCCTTAATTAAATTATAATGAAAGCAGAAAAATAGAAAATCGACAATGAGTCATATGTACTTGTATAAAATGTCACTAATTATGTAGCTACATGAAAAAAGGACGTTGACAGAAATATCAGCCTACCATTTGTATATAAAAAAGGGTGGATACACATACACATATACTTTTATATTGAAGGAAATACAAGAAGCCAGAAAAAATCCTCTAGAACAGGAGGCAATGCAATCAATATCTGTGTGATGCTTTTTCAGTTATCAACAATAAGAATATTGCTTCACAAAGAATGAAATGTGTAGTATGAATGTTAACAGACTCACAAAGAGTGAGTAAGAATGAAGATTCTACAATGATCTAGATAAGTCATGCCTTAGAATTATCAGCATGAGCTTTTGATGCCCTTTCTGCTTTATAAGTTTAAAAGTGATTTATATAATTCTGTAAAATAAACTTTCTAAGAATAGCTTTATATGTGTGTGTGTGTGTGTATATATCTGAGAAAAAAGATGAATGCTAGCTCTAAAACTCAGGCTTAAAACTTTAAATAAAATTTTAAAGCCATACATTATTGTATTATCAAGCTCTAGATTGTAATTTTCGTTTTCCCTTTGTATAATTCTCACTTCATTTGATATTTATTGTCTCACAGTGATATTTGAAGAGAACTAAACTCTTATTTAGGTGTTCTGTTGTGACGTTGCAGGATAATACACTAGACCAGAAAGTAAGTTTGAACCACAAGGTCAGCAGTTCAAACTCACCAGTCACTCCTCAGAAACCCTATACAGGGTCACTCAATGGCACTTAACAACAACAACAAACTTCTATCTTAACTATTCTTAACACACATGGATAACAGACTGATACATGCATGCTTTATAATTTTACTGAAGTTTGCGATCGATTTTACTGTTGGTTTTACTGTTAAAAGTCTGAACTAAATCTACCACTAATAGTGAGATAACCATTTGAAGAATAGTTCCTTTCTAAATCTTCCTATTGCAATCAACCAGTATTAACTAATCAAAGATGTCATTGTTCATTAAAGTATAAATTACATGTTTACCTGCTGATGCTAAGATGGTACAATGCAAAGCATGTTTTAAGGCCTCTAGTCTTTCACTTTCATGGACTATTGTCTTGTAAGAAAGCTCATTGTATCTTTGTGCAGCTTCAATGAATTTTCTTCTATAATCAAGAACACGTGCATAGCATACCTATAGAGAGAGAATGTCTCAATTGGGAGAAAATAACAAAGCAAAGGCAAACGAAAAAAAAAGACAGTCCAATACAAGGCAGCATTTATCACATGTTCTAAATCACTCAGTATATTATTATTAAGGCAAAAGTAATTTCAAATCAGCTCATCTGTTACCTTATAATGTATCTGTAACTGTTCATTGGTTGATTCATTCTGAAGCAATGATGCTCGATTTATGTAAGCTTCTGCCTGTACTGGATCATCATCCTCTAAATAGAGCCTAGCAATTTTCAAGTAAGTCTCCAGTTTATAATCTACATTGTATTGCCTAGGGTATAGCAGAAAAACACAAAATGATTAAATATTTTAGCATGATAATTTCTGAGTAGTAGAAAACAAGTAACCTACTGCTTACATAAGTATATTGCTAAAATAAGGGGTTTAATTTTCTTACTTAATTATATTATAGAAAATCTAGAAAACAGTATTTCCAAAATAAGTTTTAATTCTATTTTTGTTCACAAAACTTTTACTCCTCAGATAATCACATAAATTAAAGATCATAAAAAAATTCAATACCCCATTCAGAAGTATATCACATACAATTGGTGGGATTATAAACAATTGGTCCACCCTTCCTGTAGAACAACTTGGCAATATGCACTCTAATCATTCGTTCTTTGTGTCCTTTAAAATACATACAGTCAATGATATGCCCTGTAAACTTTCAATCCACAAAAAAAACCTTAAAAAAAAAATGCATACAGTCATAATTTGTATACTTTGCTGTTGTTGTTGTTAGGTGCCATCGAGTCGGTACTGACCAATAGCGACGACCCTATGCACAGAAGAACAAAACACTGCCCGATCCTGGGCCAACCTCACTACTGTTGCCACGCTTGAGTCCATTGATGCTGCCACTTGGCCAATCCATCTCATTAGGGTCTTCCTCTTTTTCTCTGACCCTCCACTTTATACCTCCAGAAATTAAACTCTTAAGAAAATATATGGGATATGCACACAGATATATACACAAAGATATTAATTTGCAGTAAACATCTTTAACAAGGGAAAATTGAATATTCCCCATTATGGGCATTTACCAACTAATGTATAGTATATGCTGGAATAATACTAAGTGCCACTGAGTCAATTCCAACTCATAGCGACCCTATAGGACAGAGTAGAAGTGCTCCATTGGGTCCTCAGGCTGTAATCTTTACGATAACAGATTGTCATGTCTTTTCACCCATAGAGCAGTGAGGTAGGTCCAAACTGTCAGCCTTTTGGTCAGAGTTGAGCACTCAACCAGTGTACCACCAGCATTCTTCATGTTATACTACTATGCAGTTATTCTATGGTAGAATATCATGCATATACTATTACATATAATCATGACAATGGGATACATTTTTTTTCACTAGGTGCCATCGAGTTGTGTGTCAGAGTAGAACTTTGCTCCACAGAATGCAGACGGACCGGTCTTTATTCCAAAGTGCCTCTAAGCAGATTCAAACTGCCAACCTTCTGGTGAGTAGCTAAGTGCTTAACTTTTTTGCGCCATTCAGGAATTCCATGGGATAATAAACCAAAACTAAATTCACTGCCATCGAGTCGATTCTAACTCATGGTGACCTTGTATGTCAGAGTAAAACTGGTTCATAAAGTTTCCAAGACTATAAATCTTTACAGAAGCATATTATCACATCTTTCTCTTACAGAGCAATTGGTGGGTTCAAGTCATGAAACTTTCAGTTAACAGATTAGTACTTTAACCAGTCTGCCACCAGAGGCTAGTCATCATACACAACAGGGCTTCAGAAAGTTCATGGAAAACATCCATTACCTTTTCATTACATTTCCCACAAACTTTTTAAGCTCCCTTGTATTTTTCTTGAGTGATAAAACAATAAAAAAACTCATGGGGGTCACCATGAGTAAAAAATGACTTGACAGCAATTAGTTAAAACACCATCAAAATATATTTCTATACATATACAAGGAGGCTTCAAAAGTTGGTAGAAAATTCCATTTATCGAGCTGGTCTGCCAAAGACCCCCTAAGCGCCAGACCTAGCCCCCGCGCGGCCCCATTTCAGCTGCAACAAAAAGAAAGAAACAATCATGAATCAGGAAAATCTCGCCAAACAGCACACACAAGTGTGCATTGGTGGAAAAGGAATTGCTCGCAGAAAGAAGGTGGTGGTTCAGGGAACAGCCACAGCGGATGATAAAAAAACTTCAGTTCTCCTTAAAGAAATTGGGGTAAATAATATCTCTGGTATTGAAGAGGCAAATATGTTCAAAAACCAAGGAACAGTGATCCACTTTAACAATCCTAAAGTTCAGGAATCTATGGCTACCAACACTTTCACCATTACCAGCCACACTGAGACAAAGCAGCTGACAGAAATGCTCCCCAGCATCTTGAACCAGCTTGGCGCAGACAGTCTGACTAGTTTAAGACTGGCTGAAGCTCTGCACAAACCATTTGTGAATGGAAAAGCACCACTTGCTACTGGAGAAAAGGATGATGATGAAGCTCCAGAGCTTGTGGAAAATTTTGATGAGGCATCCAAGAATGAGGCTAACTGACAGTTAGCTTCTAAAGAAGATAAAACTTGAAGAAGTTATTTGGAGCTGCTATTTTATATTTGTTTTCTTTCTGGATCTGATAAAATTTAGATCTCTAATATTTTTAAGCCCAAGCTCTTTGGACATTGCAGCTCTTTTAAATTTTTGCTTATACATAATTCATTCTTTGTAGTCAATGACGCTGACGAAGCCAGGGAATAAATTTGAAACAAATGCTAATAAGGTTTTTTGCCTAGTTAAAAAAAAAAAAAAAAATCCATTATCTTTTTATTCTATTTTTCCATGAAATTTTTGAATATCAGAATATACATCTTTGTATATCAGGATGGTGGTGATGATGGTGGTATGCCACGGAGTTGGTTCCGACTTGTAGTGACCCTGTACAGGGTTTCCAAGGCTGTAAATCTATACTTGAGCAGAAAACCTCAGCTTTCTCCGGCATAACAACTGGTAGTTTCAAAACACTGAAAGTAAGATTAGCAGCCCAACTCGAAACTACTATGCTACCAGAGCTCCTTGTATATCAGGATAGTAATAATAATTATCTCTGGGTGGTTGTGGTTATGTGCTGTGGAGTCGGTTCCGACTCAAAGTGACCCTATACAGGGTTTCCGAGGCTGTAAATCTTTATGAGAGCAGAAAGCCTCATCTTTCTCCCATGGAACAGCTGGGTAGTACAATATAAACCCTCTCCTCACTCATCAATATGGTTAGGTTCCAAAGATCATGTCATTATATGAAAATGGAAGGTAACCACATTAGATCACAAATGAAGAATAACTACATCATTACATTAACCGCCAAATTACATCACTGTGTAACTGTCAAATCACTGAGAATCATGGCCCAACCAGATTGGCATATAACCTTAACCATCACAGCAAGCAATTCTCTAGCCTTGTACCTTGGCATTCATTATTGTCAGATGAACATCTTTAATACATAAAATAGTTGGATAGATTTTTTTACTACTGTCATATATGTAAAATGTTGGATAATGAAATAGTCAATAAGTCAGGAGAAGGTGAAGGCAATTTTCACTTTTTTCTTTACTCCAGTGATCACAATTTATGCAAGAAATGCATATGGAGATCAAAAGCCTTGTATAACTCAAAACTCACACATTCAAGATTAATCCTGACAGGAACATTAATCCTGCATATTTCCCAACAAACACAGTGTCACCATATGGCAGAAACATATTTGCAATTCACTTGTAATCAATATTTCTTCTATTTCTTTTCTGGTAGAGAGGATGGGAGGGAGAAGCTTACATTAATTCAAACTTTTTGTTTGTTGTTGCTGTCACTAAGTGCTGTAGAGTCAGTTCTGACTCATAGCAACTTTGTATAGCGTTTCCAAGGAACAGTTGGTAGGTTTGAACTGCTGACCTTGTGGTTCACAGTCCAGTGCTGATCCTACAGTGCCATACCACAAGTACAGCACTGTGCTTTTATTATTTCCATTCATAATTCAAATTTGCACAAATTGCTATATATAGCTCTAGACTTTTGTTTTACAATTCTCTACTAAGTGTATCTATTACATTTCTTCTTAGTCAAAATGAATTTTTTTTTTTTAAGAAAAAGAGCATTCAATTCTTTGTCCAAATTTATTTTCAATCACTTGTTTTGAAAACCACTAATAATTTCAGTTCTTGTGTCTTCACAGATGAGGATAATCCTACGGACTATCAAAACAAGAATTACAAACAGCAAAGTACAATATCTAATTATATATTTACTTCAAGTATAGTGCTCTGTGATAGGGAGAAAATGCTCCAAACAAAACAAGACAAAGAAAATAGGAAAATCCAGTCTTTTCAAACTACAAAAAGAAAAACTATCATGAGACCTTGCAATGCATAATTTTTCAGCAGCTATTTCTAAAGGCTTTTCACAAACTTGCTGTTTTTTTCAGCGGACAAACTGCTTATGCGTAACAATTTCGTAAATATGTAAAGTACAAAAGGTAAAATGACTGAAGTAATGTCTGCCTCATCATAATAAATATTAATGGAAGAAAAGATTTCCTCATTTACCTAGTAAAAGAGCAGAAAAGCTGCTGAGAATATTTTTAAGTAATTAATTAACAGTTGGTATTTTTATACTTGCCAATTGAAAGGCAAAATGTGTTTATATAAACTAGAGTCTCACACTTTTTGTCTTTCACATACAATATATTCTGGAAGGATATATGTAACAAAAGGTAATACTAGTTGAATAAGAGTTATAACCCTTTACCTTATCCTTTTCTAATTATCTTTCTACCTCACTTTCTCTAGTATCCCAACTCAAATAATCTTCTGAACCACTGTAAACTACAAACCATTATACTGGAGTTACATTTTAACTGTCTCATTCCCCTTAAAGGTCTTACTTCCCCTCCTTACCTCAGTGAACTCTCATGGTTAATGATTTTAACCACTGCCTTGTACATGCATTCATTCCCACTATCTTTCTCTTGCTGCCCAATTCGAAAAGATCATAACTCTGGTTCTACCTAAGCTACTCCTTACATCCATGTAGGTGGACTCTGCTGAAGAAAAACACCCAACTAATCTTACTGTATTCAATTTCATCACAACCTTTAGATGTGTTCTTACTGTTGCCATGGAACCACACTGTACATACCTAGTCTGCTGACTGACTCTCCAACTCTCCTAGAGGACCATTTTTCACATTCTTGTTGTTCCTCAAACTCCCAACTCCCACCTCCACCCACAACTTCTGAG